TACTTGTACATTAGATCGTCATTGGCCTTGGGTTGGGAAAGGTCAGAAGAAGGCGGGGTGTCGAAATGTGGTGATGTTCGATAGTAACGATCCATCAGACGTAATTGCTGATTGAGTTGATTAAATTTATTTTGCAATTTTGTAGGCAATAAATTAATTGATAACAAATAGTTGTGCGTGGTTCAAGACATAGTAACCCTAGGGTGGTTTAATTTACAATGTAGAAAACTTACTCAGATTGTGTTTTTCACCAATAAGAATATATATTATTATAAATTTATAGGCACATTAGTTTTCCCTGTTGACTATTATTACCACAAAGAAGTTTGGTTGATGTTACTATCTTACTTATCTGTGTTTTTACATCATATTGGAGTAAAACATTCTTAAGGATCTATAGCCTTGTTAAATTATCCTTGGAAGTTTTGTTCACATCTCACCTCGTTAGTGCAATAAATGCATTAAAAATTGACAACCATGACTTCATTAAATAATGTCTTTCTGAGGTAGAAATGGCTCAGCACGTTATTTTCCCCTGCTTTCCTGGACTCCTTGGCTGAAGTAGACAGAAAGTATTTGAACGCTGCACGCTATAGTTGAATCAAGTAAACTGTGTTTAGCTGTCTGAAAGGTAATAATGGGATAACTTTTCTGAAGTGACTATATAGTCAAATGCGCTACTAATATGTGTATTTCTTGCTATTAAACATCTTTATGAAATGAAGACTATATTACCTAAAAATAATTGATTCTGTACCCCAGATCCCATAATATTCCGCTGGGATTTCACTTAACGTTGCTTGCTCACTTAAGTTCATTTCCATATGTAACAATACCCTGGTTTTGGCAGTTTCCTTAAAGATGCCGTTGGCGTCAAAAAGTAGAAAATAAATATTTCAAAAGATATTTTTATTTCTTGTTGTTTGTTCATGATAACATAATCTAGTTTGAATTAAATTTATTATTCTACAAGAACCAACGTATTTTCCATCATGTATACACCACTGAGAAGCTCAACGAGCTCGTTGAGACCTTCACCTTAAGGAGGCTTAGCTGACATCAGCGGTGTCATATGATAAAAAATAACGACCAAGACGTTACCCGATAACGACTCTAGTGATAACGGCGTGGTTGTCGGTCGTTACTTACACCCAGTCAACCAACAACTGCCGTTTTCCTACCTACGCCGAGCGGCTTCCTCATGAACTGAAAATATCAACGCAATATTTATCGTAACCTTTGCCAAACGTCTGTTCTTCCTTGCACTTCAGATTGTATGATTCATGAATTCAGTAAAAGAGACGTATGTGATATTAAATTTTGGTCACACTTTTTTGTTGCTTTTCGACGTGTGATGTCCATACATTGTAACCTAAACCCTATTCATTTACTAGAGCTGTTTTGTATCACAACATTGTGTATGCATTTCATTTTAGTAAAAAAAAAATAATTTTACTATTTAGATGTTTACCATAGTCAAGCTAAATATAAAAGACTTCAAATTCTACCTAAACCTTAAATTTGATCTTTTAGCTCTTAATATTTTTCCTTGGGAAAGTTAGTATCATATTTAGCATTTATTATTTACAGATTGCTAGAAACTGATTTTAGGCTAAAATGTTTTGAGCGTTTGCGAATAATATTGTAAAAAAAACGTATTATACTAAAATACTTTTCACTAATTGATTTTCATTACTTTGCAGTAACTTATATTTTATAATCACCAGTTCCTACATAAGACCCCAAGTACGATTTTCACTTTAAAGATGAAGATACATTAGAGAGCTTAATCATTCCTGTATGATTTTGGCAATGAGTTAATTGTTTGACAGACTCAATCTCAGCGCCACAAATCAAACTTGGACGAAATACCACGCGGCTAAACGAACCCTCTAATGACTAAAGGAATGGGTTTGGTTACCGAGCTATCCATCACAGAAGCAGCGTTGATGTGGGGTGGCCTAGTCTGCAAAGGTAAAGGCTAGGGATGAGAAATCAGGTGGAACTTACTACTAACACTAATTGCAAGCCTACTTGAAAATATCACTTCAGATAGATCGAGGATTTGTGAGTTTCTTTGTTGTGTTCCCTCCACTGAGTGAATGTAGAATACTAAGAGCGTTGTTGTTTTGACCTTATGTTCTTTGAAATCATCCGTTCAATTGTTCAGGGTTTATTAAAATTATTAACACAACTGCTTTTAAAATACAAAAACGCAATATCCCCATGATTACCTTGTAAAATATTTATTCTGTAATCTGAGATTTAGGAACTTGTTCTTAAGATTTATAAGAAGGATACAATTTCAGGGAAAATGAAAAATATCACTGTATTACTTAAATCAAGTGTTAAACACGTCTATGACATAAACTTGGCACTTATGAAATTTATGACTTGAACTAATTATGAAACCCTCATTAATCTCACGTTAACCACTGTGCCTTGAGACGGATCATTCGTTACTATTTTCATTCGCCCTTTATTCGTTACTATTTTTTTAAGTAATGACTACCGAGGAAACCAAGGAATTTGTATGGTCCAGGTTCTGTTTTTAAAAAAGGAAAATATTTTCCTTTTTATTGAACTATTAAAACAGAGAAGGATGAATGATGTTTTTTCATGAAGTAAATAGGCACTACATTAATTAATTTTTAAAAACGCTAAAATAGTAACTCCTCAGCAAATACCCGTGAAGGGAAAACTATTAACGTGGACATCATGGCAAAACCAAGGTACTGGTTTGCATCCACTATTTCTTTACAAATTTGTTGAAATTTACATAGTTATATAGACCATTTATGAGTACCTAGGCACGATGATTAGAAAAAAATGCTATTATTTTTATGAAATAATAATAAAAAATTAAAAAAAAAAACTACATCTGGCAGCCAAATTCGACCCTGACTAGGGAAGTTTTTATGCCGTCAAACTCAACTTTTGTGTTTTTTACTGACTATCTTATGTATTTTACTATTTTAAACTGAATAACAATATATTTAGAATACTTAATTATTATTCTATGTTCATTAGTCAATGAGAGATTTAATGTGCAAAACATTGTCTTTCATTTTATCCTTATGAAGAAAGAAATAATAAATGTGTATTGCTTATTTATAAACACAGTTATAGTAATGTATATTACTTTTTTATGTTAGGTCTTTAAAATGTTAATATAAAAGCCAAGCAAGCTTTAGGCTTGATTTAAGACTGTGTGTAATCTTTTTAATATAATCAACCTGTTTGGGTAACATAACAACATCGGTTCAGCTAAGATTTCGCTTAGTATAGAGGTTCGTTGCATCGGAATATGTTTATTTAAAAGTTCGAGTAACTCCAAACATCTAAAATAGGGAAATGTCTACTTTCGCATGTTTAATTGTTCCGATAGCTCTAACTCCACATTATTGTATCGCATTTATTTCGATCATTTACAAGTTTAGACCGTTTACTACACACGAATGCTTAGTTATTGGAAGCTTAGCCGAAATCCTTGGAATCTGCAGTTTAAGAGTTTTGCAAAAACATGAACTCTAAACAGACCACCCTCAACCTTAACATTTGATTAAAGTTTTATTACTGTCCACGCCTGGTATGGAAACTGATTTGCATTTGACTTGATTCCAATTCAGAAGTTGACTTTGCTATGGGATATGAATATTTCATTTAAATTAAAAAATTTCGTATCTATCCATATAATATTTTTCAATCTGTTGGGTTCAGATGAAATAAACAAAATAACATGTAATTTTATCTTCTCTACAGGTTATTAATAAGCCCTTTTAAGTTTACGTTTCATTACATTCTAAATTAAAAAGGTTCTATTTTAAATTTAATACAAATTATTTATACAAATATTAGTTACGTATCAGAATCATACATCACATAAGTTAAGTAAATTAGGCTTTGCCAATTAACTTATAAATCCAATAAGTGGGGGAGCCAGGATTATCATTGAAGCTTAATTTAAGTAATAGGCTAATATGTAATAGTTTTAATCATAAATATAAAAATCCCAAAAGGTCGTATTTTAAGCCTGATATAGAATTTATTTATAGTGAACACAATTTTTTCAATAAATAAGAGAGAATGTTATTCTTACCCTTTGAACTCTATTACACAGTTTTGTCTGTCGACGAGTTATTCTTTTCAAACTTTAACTACACCGATTTCTCTCTTCTTTAAGCTTTTTTTCATTGTTATTTTCATTGTCAGAGAAATATTTCCTATCACTTCCAATGAAATTTAGTACACTTTAGGTAATTAGAATTAAAAAAAAAATTGACAATTTAAAAAAATAGAAATCATATATCTGTTTTCATATGCATCCTCAATGAAAACTGTTTGTCTGGTTGCCATAAATCTTGGGAAAATCGTTCTGTAAATGACTTGAAAGGTTAGTATGTTAACAACGATCTTAAAATATCTTTTCCTTTAGACTTTTAAAGATACCGAGTTTATCTTACGACAATTCTTTACAGGTTGACTCCTATAAAAATACAAAGTACAGTAAATGAAAAAATTGCTATTTTTTTACAGTTTTGGTCGCTTATTTTTTAATTTGTTTTGAAGTTGTTATTATTCTGCTAGACTAACAACATATATTATTTTAAACAAGCAATAGAAAGATAATTGTGACTGTCTATGTACTATGGGGATTTTATGATCAATGGTGATACTAGTTATTTTTTCACTACCCCTAATTATCTAGGTCCTATAACATCCCTCTTATTCATCACCCCATAATGAACCGATTGCAATATTCAATTAATTGCCCAATCCCTGTAAGTCCCTATAATGCCTAGCATGAACACCCTACAGACATCCGTACGTTCACCGCGGTGGTGGTGGCAGAGATGGTATTACCTAAAGTTAAGGTCAGTAACGGGTCCGTAGTCCGTACCGTGATGTAACTGCAATTAGCCCAAGCCCCGCCTCTGAAGATTCACCCTGTGTCGTGTTAGAGTATATAAGCTGAGGACAGCTCCAGACTCAGCACACCATCTCCCAACGCCTCCTCAGCATCCAGACATGGCTTGCAAGGTGAGCTGGAGCATCTGCTTGGTTTTTTCCTATTTTATTTTTAAGATTTCATAAAAATATTAAGATGTGCATTTATTTTTTTACGGGGTTTGGACCAATACTTTAAAAATTGGTAAATCTTTTTGTACTTCAAAATTGTAAAAATTATTTTGTTTCTTGGGGGTTAGCACAGGACTTAAAATCAAATAAACGTGGGCTTATACGGTCAAGTTTTTTTTTTTTTTTTTTTTATTAAATAGCATATTTTAAATATTAAATTTTACTTAGCGGTCAAACAAATTTAAAGACTAGGTTTTCCATCGTGTTTGTGCAATTTCATTTAGAATTACGGGCAGTTGACGCATTGTGCACTGTCTCTGCTTGGTTAATGGTTTTTTGTTTGTGTGTTTATTATGATGCCTTATAAACTTGTAACATGTTCTTGCAGACTCTCCTCGTTCTGGCTCTGGCCATCTCAGCTGTCGCCGCCGGCGTCGCCCCTGCGGCTCCCTACGTCGCTCCAGGAGTCGCCACACCCTACGCTGCCCCTGTACCTCCTGTCGCCCCCTACGCTGGTAGAGTGCCTCCCTACGCTGGCTATAGTGGTGGATACGGTGGAGCCTACGGTGGTGCCTATGGTGGTTACGGAGGTGCCTACGCTCCCGGAGCCTACGCCCCCGGCGAGTACGACCCCAACCCCCAGTACACCTTCAGCTACAACGTCGCAGAGCCTCTGACCGGTGACTTCAAGGACCAGACGGAGACTCGCAGCGGAGACGTCGTCCAAGGCAGATACAGTCTTCTGGAGGCTGATGGCTCTAGGAGAGTTGTCGAGTACACCGCCGACCCAGTTGGAGGATTCAACGCCGTCGTTAGCAAGGAAGGAGGAGTCGCCGTCCCACCAGGTGCCGCTCCCGGTGTTACCGCCCCCGTACCCTTTGCCGGAGCTGTCGCCCCCGGAGTTGCCCCCTACGCCGCCGGCAGGTACGCTGGATACGGTGGACGTATTCCTCCCTACGCTGGAGCCGCACCCTATGCTGGAGCTGCCCCTTACGCCGCACCGTACGCTGCACCCTACGCTGCTCCCTATGCTGCACCTTACGCCGGTAAGGCTCCATACGCTGCACCATATGCTGCCCCCTACGCTGCTCCCTACGCTGCCCCCTACGCTGCACCCTACGCCGCTCCGTACGCTGCACCCTACGCTGCTCCATACGGCGCTAAGGCTCCGATCGCTCCTGCCGTTGCTCCCTATAAAGCGTGGTAGATGTGTCTTCTAGCCTTCGTATAGTGGTCTAAACTTCCTTCATTTCATCTTGTTAACCATACCATGTATGTATAGATTATATTGTAATAAATACGTGTTTTTATAAAATATTTGTTTTTCTTAAACGCCATATTTATTAACTCCGAAATACTATATGTTTCCTGCCTTTTGGAAAGGTTTAGGTTTCAATCCTTATAAAAAATCATTCATTTTCGCTTTTCTCTGTAATTCTGTTTGACTTAATCCTCACTTGAATTAAGTTTTGCCAGATTCAATTTTTGAACAACCAAAACATTGTTTGGCACTGCAAAGTAAAATAATCAAGAAAAGTAAATTTTGTTATTGAAACATATTTATTCCCTATTACTAACTGATCAGTTTCAAAGACTTGAATGACCTGAATATGTGTATCACTTGCATCTGTGTCATCGCATTACTAAGCTGCAAGAGACGGTGTTTTTACAAGTACTTACCATGGGCGGGGGTCGCCTTCTGGACCATGACTACGACAACTGGAGCATACATTGTCATATATATATCACCAGGTCTACTGTCCTCAACAATACAACAGGTACTCTTTCAGTGTACACACCACCACACTACAGCACCATGGCTCTTCAGGTAAGCAGTAAAATTGTTAACATTAAAAAGTTTAAATTTAATATCATAATAGCATTTATTTTTAAGAAAGATATGATTATTTCCTTTTCTTACAAGTTGCTTGTAGTGGTAGTGGTTTATTTTTTGTTCGTATTTAGTGAGACAATAAACTCTTTTTCCCATGGTGTATACTGTAGCTTAAATGGTGTATGCCACATCTTCTTTTTGGTAGTGTTCAAACCCATTCCAAAAATGTATTTCCAAATTATAAACTTTTATAAATCTTTTTGCACTATTAGAGATCACTATTAGTAAAGAAACGGACCTTATGTGGTTTGTATTAATTTCTATTAGTGGTTAAAGCATGATCCAAGAAAAAAATAATTCGAGTGTAGTAATCAATATTCGGGTGTCTGTGACTTAAAAATGTCTTCATCCAAACGTGATCTCAAAATCTCCGCGCGCACTGAATGTATGGAATAATATCATTGTTAAGCCTTTTAAAATATTTATGATTCATCCAAATTTCATTTCAAATACGAGTAACACTATTATTGTAGGACAAAGTTTTTGCAATAATGAATTAAAACGAAAGTAACAAAAGTAGTTGTTATTAAAACACCAAAAGACTTCAAGATAGGACGAACTAGATATGTTTATTGTTAGCTTAATAACGTTGGTATTTTTTAGTTTTCTTATATATTCTTTGATAAAATTATCCCTTCAATGCCCACCTTAAACAATGGTATAGTACTACAAATACTAGCTTTTTCTAAATCATGAAAAAATTTGAGTGGAGGTCAACGAGTGCATATACCTAAAAATCATACGAGGCATATGGAATCGACTGTAAAATGGTAAAACAATCTAACATATTTACACTAAATTATATTGAATCCAAGACAAAATGCTTTTTTGGTTGAAGCTATTCATCTTCATTTCTTATAAATGCCACAAAATGCATCTAAAGAATGCGAAACATATTGTTTTAAAATTATTTAGCCTATTTAAAATTACCATTTACTAAACATAATCATTTTTTTGTAATTTGTTATATGTGTTTCATTAAATTACTTCACTTAAGGAACGTCAGTATATGATATCAAGTCAATGTGTTAAATCAATTCCGACGCAGAATTTGTATGTGCGTGTTATTAGCCGGCATTTAAACTTTATGGTCATGTGGATATAACGGCAATGACCCCTGGCGGAATTATTGAAAATAATGTTACCACCGATTTACAACCTGTAATATAGCCTTGTTTCAAATATTATCGCATTCCATTCCTACTTATATCCTCATATTAATTATTAGGTATTTGTAAAAAAATTTCTCTGGCTTTGTTTAAAAATCAACAATTATGTGTTACAGTTGGTACTACTGACGGCTTGTTTCGCCGCGACGCACGCAGCTTACGTTGCCACCCCTGCCCTGGTCGCCCCGGTGCCCACTGTCCCCACCTACACGAGGGCTTACGTCCCCGTCCCCGCCGCCTACGCCGCCCCCGCATATACCGCCCCCGCCTACTCCGCACCCCGTGTTGAAGAGTACGACCCCCGCCCCCAGTACAACTACGAATACTCCGTCCACGACGCCAACACCGGAGACGTAAAGAGCCAACGGGAGAGCCGCGACGGAGACGTCGTTCAGGGATCCTACAGCCTGGTCGAGCCTGACGGTTCCACCAGAACTGTGGAGTACACCGCCGACCCCCACAACGGATTCAACGCCGTCGTCCACAAGGAGGCTGGAGCTCACCCCGCCCCCACTGCTGCCGCCCCTGCTAGAGTCGCTACCCCTGTCTACGCCGCCCCCGTTTACACCGCCCCCGCCGCTAGATACTCGGCCCCCGCCTACACCACATCTTACCCTACTCCGTCATACTCTCCCTCTTCATACCCTGCTCCTGCTTACTCTTCCTCCTCCTACTCCGGCCCCACCTACAGCCGACCTGCGTACTCTTCTCCGTCCTATTCTCAATACAACTCTCCTTCATACCCTACTAGGTACTATTGATGTGTCTTATTCATAGAGTAATACGTCTTATGCCCCGTCTCTGATCTATCTTCTTCATGTACACTGCCATTTATTTTAAATAAAATACTTTCTTCTGCATATTACTCTTATTTTTAATAACCCATTGTTATATTAATGGAAACTATTTGGGTGAAATGCAATTAGTGTTTGAAGATTGACAAACGTTTAAATAATCTGTTTAGTCTGGCTAGTAAAGGTAACCTATGTTTAGCGAATAGTAAAAAAAGGCTGATTTACTCATATAATATTGGATTCTGTTTTTACAATAGCAATAAAACCACACTATACGCCCTCCTACAATCTTACCACTTAACTAACACCCGTCTCAAAACACGTTCTACCCTGCATATTGACTTGCCGTAAGATTATACCAGCAGAGGTTGCGATTTGTTCAAAATTTGTGAATAAACTATAAATAATTTTTGTCAAGTGTGTATTTTGTCTTGGAAATAATATGCCGTTGTAGCAAAGATATTTGTGCTAGTTTATGTATTTATACATACAAACGGCTCAGCCAATATACGAATGAAGATATCGTTCACTGGCTACTGATGTTCATCAGTCAACCTTCTTACGAATATTTGTATTTTAAAATAATCTAGATGAATTCTTGCAAGAAGAATGAGTGGTTTTCTGTGTGTAACCTTCAAATGTGAATCGAATGCTGAACATTTCGGTTGAAATAAATAAACTGCATCAATTTATAATTTAGGTTTTATTTAACAGCGGTAATGTGAGTTAATGTCAATCCTATAATGCATATCACCGAAAATAAATATATTTTAACAGAGGGTTGCAGAAGTGTTGGAATGATGATTGTTATTCCTAATTTTACAACTAATTAACAAATTGTTCATTAATTTACCTGTGGTTGAAATTAATCGTTGCTCCAGAACATAATCCGAGGAATGTCTAATTAATACACTTAAACAGGCGTTTATAAAAAATGTACGTTGTATACATAATAGTAATGATATATTTTAAAAGGTTTCCCTCAAAAATACTCATCTGTGTGAACCCGTCTAAGAGTTTCCATTATTTATCATTTATTTTGCAAAAAAATAAACAAAAGAACAAGAGCTTTGGCTAAACAATGAACACAACACACAACATCAATTACCACAGCAACAACAACGATTACTCAGCACAATGAATAATCACAAGCTTAACATTTGTTAAGATAAAGTAAGTACTGTGAAATTGAATAAAGTATACAATTTCTACAAAAACTAAGATTCCTCTTAAAAGTCGAAACTAAACAATTAAGGTCGGTATAAATAACGCGAGTTTATATTGCCATCATAGTCGTGACTATTCATAGAAATATATATTTTTAATGTTCTATCTATATATTATCAACATATTTATAGGCAAGCACGTTTCTTTAAAACCTATTATTCTCAGCTCGTGTGCATCGCAGGAAAAATGTATGAATACTGTTAGAAATATATTTATTTGCCTGAATATGTGCAGAATCCCTTGATAAATAAAAAAGGCTAAAAATAAGCACAACGAATTAAACAATTTACATGGGCCTTATGGTTTGCCATCATGGTGACTAAATGAAAACTAAATATAAACAGAAGATTAAAACAAATTGAAGAAATTCCAATCACTTGTGATAAATAAAACAAAAAATGTAAAAACGAATTTGAAATAAAACATATGATTGGAATTCATTTAATTTGTTTTAATTTTCTGTTTATAATTTGTTGTTATTTCGTCACCGGCATGTCAACCCATAAGGTCCATGTTTATTTTTGAAATTTAAAATTAATCTTTTGTGCTTATTTGTAGCCTTATTTAATTTATAATGGGATTCTGCACATCTACAGGCAAATATATTTCTAACAGTATTCATAGATTTTACCTGCGATGCACAAGAGCTGAGAAAGAAGGTTTGAAAGAAACATGCTTGCCTATAAATATATAGATTGTGTAATATAAGATGTTATTGATGAACACAGTGTTTCGTGAAGCATAAGTTAATAATTCCAAATAGCAACCCTTTGTACAAAGTCATAATAATCATAAGTGTATACCGGTAGTAATGTTTGTTTTATTTACAGGTAGGACAACTGGAGCGGACCCACAGAGTATGTACCAAGTAATTTCTCTAGTTTGTATCTGCAATTACCATAGTAATACATTACTGGGGTAACACTATAACTCCACAAACGAAAGTTCCACACAACCCGGCACTGTCTTATGTGTGATGTATAATCAATGACACTAATGAATAATTGATTAATGGATATGAGTCACTAGTGAGTGCAATCACTTTCACTCTTCTGATTTGTTCTCTGTAAACATACCAGGGGGATGATTACTAGTTAAATATAGTCATTTATTTATACTTTGCATTAGCTTTGAGTGTATACACTGCCGTGAAGTATACATAAATTTTCATGTAAAAATTGCACCCAATACTTTAAATTGAAATAATTTGTTCCAAACTAACCGCCGCGCCGACAGTGTGCTCCTAAAATATACCGTTTTATTTAAAACTATACAGCATATTTATATAAATAACTTCTTGATCAGCATTGTACGTGTTATTACAGTAAGTAAATAAAAGAAAAGACTGTGAAGTGTTTGTGTTCGATTGGACACTCCAATCATCATCAGACCCAATAGGCTAATGACAAGAATCTTGAATGGCGTCCCTACTTATATCCTATTGGGTACCGAAAGCACCGGCCAATACATTTTTTTAAGTACAACTGGGGAGTCGAAATTTACTTGTTCATTGATCAGTTTATTTCTATTCTTACATTTTTCCTTATAGACATACAATTCTTCCCAAGCATTCATTAGCTATTTCATTAGTTATAGAAACATTGAATTAGTATTAAAAAAATAATTGTAAATTGGTTTGTTTGGACTGTTGGAAGCAAAAATAAAGAACAAAATAAAATAAAATTACATATCATGCCTTACAATTCTTTAAAATATATAGACTATCCTCCATTTTTCCTATTGAGTGGCCATTTTGTAACGGGTGTTGTGCAACATTTGATCTTTCCGGTTTGTTGTTCTTTCACGCAGATATGTGGTTTTTGAAGTGGTGAACGAATTTCACAGTCTATCTAATGTTTCCAATCTAGTGTTCTGTATGTATCTAGTGTTGTGTAATGTATGTGTTGTGTGATGTGTCATCTGTGTTCTAATGTTCTAATGTGTGCGTGTGCGGTTTTTGGTTTGCTGTTCAAGATTCTTGTCATTCGTCTATTGGGTCTAATGATGATTGGAGTGTCTAATCGAAATCGATCACCACATACCAATTTTTATGTACATTTAAGATATCGGATTCTGAAATCAGTGACAATGTGATTGATTGTTGTATGTATGTTAAATTACTTCAACTTCAGAGTTTTCTATATTAAAAGGCTTTACGAGGAATTCATAAATTGTATTTTTAACGTGTATTTCCCACGACTTGTCATTCCTGCTGTAAAGGTTAGCATTAACTGGCACACTTGCTCCACAAACGTGGAATATGTGTAATTTGGTGGTTAGCCTTGAGGACGACCCGTTAATCAGATCAGCTGTTTAATAATCAGCTGACTCCTGTTCCTGGATGTTACTTTGACCTTGACAAGTTGTCGGATGGCATCTCTGCGATTTCTTGATGTAATATATGGATCCACATAAACATTCCAACACAATTTTGGTTCCTGCTCTGTAGTTTCAGTAATGGCCACTTTTAAAGGTTTTTAATCGATTTTAGAAAAAAAATATTGTGGAATTTTATGTAGAATTTCTTTCCGTATTTGTTAAGTTTGTCTAGGTATGCATGTTGGTTAGATAATTGTAGACCAATATAAGGCTTGAGTGGGTGTTACTTCTTTAAGCTTAGAATTTTCTTTTTTTTTATAAAAGTAATGAGTACCATTGTGGAGTTAGCGTGCTTGAAGAATTGGCCACTAGCTCTTTTCTTATGAAAATTTGAACTCTTTAAAAAAATTAATTATGTATTTTGAAGTTTGCAATGTTTTATACTTGTCGATACTTCTTTGGAAAACTTGTATACTGAAAAAATAGAACTTAACGGGACTAAATATTTGTACGAAGAAATACTACAGATCGAGATTTAGCACTATTTTTCGTATGTCTTATATGTATAAACATTGTAATGATTTTTGAATTGAAATAGATTGTGATTTGATTTTTTATTAAAAATATATATGATTTCTGATATTTTTTATATATTTAGTTGTCAATAATCTATGAAAAAAACACCGAAACCCATTTTATTTTAAACCACTTTAGCCCTAATTTAACTTGTAAATTACAAATAATATGTAACGACCAATAAAATCTCGATAATACTGCAAAAATTAGTCCGTAACAAACTGTCTGTAATAAACTGAGCACTACAAAAACAGTCATTTAAAGCGTTTATTTAAACAGTAAATCACTTATTAAATTTTTTGGAAGTCGTAGAAGATTGTTAATTGTTAACCAATTGTATTGTTATAAATTGTGTTAGTATCCAATGTTTTACAATTTGAAATCGTCACCAGTATTAATTACTATCTATTTTACATTAAAATTATCACTTTCTATTTCTCTTTCAGTGTCAGCTTTGCTCTCAATCTTTTGTTAGTTTAAACGTCATCTGACTGTGTCACATGTTGTTCCTTTTTTGTAGAACATGGATTCTGGGTTTTTAATGCGCTTTAGTTCTTCTCCCAAAACATGTTGCATTTCTCTAACTTCTTCCTCAATATTTATTCGATTGGCGTGATTTCCAGTGACTAGCATTTAAATACGAAGAAACGTCCTTTATCTTTCTCTCGCTTGTGGTTTTGTCCAATTCACTTTTTTACTGTAACAGGTAGAGTCGACACGCATTTTAAAATACCACTCCAAGTTTCAACATTAGACTGAACTTTTATAACAATATACGCATCCTCACATAAAAATGCACAGGATCATTTATCCTCTGTGCACTACATATCTTAAAACGGACAAGAACAAGAAGTAAAAAACAAAACATTTAGATTTCACGACGTGATTCCTCCCGGGTTTCTGTCCAATCCTGTTACGGATCTTCTAAATTGGCTCCTGCTGTT